TTCCTTCCTTCCTTCCTTCCTTCCTTCCTTCCTTCCTTCCTTCCTTCGCAACTCTTAGCTGAAAAATGTTTCCTACTGCCATGCAAATACATAGCATTAATTGCTATATATACCCCTGACTTTTAATAAAATGTTAACATCTTAAATGTTATTCATAGCAAGAATGAATCAATCCCCAGTTGTTGGGAGAACAGTTCGCCCTAAGTTCCTCTGTTGGAGTTACCTGGCTGAAGCCAGCTACCTGGATGAAGTGTTAACACTTCAAGAATATTGAAGACTAAGTCTAGCTGTTGCTTTAATATTTCCTACAATAGCCGCAGGAATCTGGGGTGGGGTGGGGGAACAATAGGAAATAACAAAAAGTAACCCAATTCCCACACATGCATTCATCTTTTTTAGGTATAAGGTCCCTGCTGTAGTTTTGGAACCTATTCTTCCATTTTTCAAAGAATACTTGGTCTTGATGTTGACTGATGCTTCCATCTTTTTTGGTAAAAAAAAAAAAATGCTACTTCAGTTTCAGTTGTGGGGCAGAAAGGAAAGCAAAACCAATTAAGGAAATGGAAGTATATTGGCATACTTCAGTATCTGTGAAAAACCACAAGGAAGACATGCATACAATAACAGTTTCTTACTTATGTTCTCTAATAACTCACATCCAGAAGCCAGTTTTCTCTTCAGGGAGAGAATGTCCATAGTTCTTGACATAGAGTATGTCCTTACCTCCATGAGTTTGTCTAATCTTCTTTTACTTGGTAACCATTCATTCAAAGGGTTGGTAATGTTTTCAAGCATGATGTTGTGGGACAGGACCTCAAAGAAAAACTTTAAATGGATGAGGTCTCACAAGCTCACCCAGCCTGGTGATATCACCCTCAAGTTATCATACAAGGACATTACCTCACAAATTGGACAATCATCAGATTTCAGGCATTTATTTCATTTTGGAAAAGCATAAGCCATTTAAAGGGACAACAGGCAGGCACTGCAGTGTTGATCACAGCATTAAGAGCTGTGTGAAATATTTATTTTTTCTTTCCTAATCGTATCTCCCACAATTAAGGCCCTTGATTCAAAATTGTGAATGGTGTACAGCAATCTGAGATGTTCTCTGTCTCAAAGTTCCAATACAACCATGAACAATTTTTTATATTTTTGTCATATTTTCCAAACTTGCAACCTCAAACTTTATAACATGTCCTCAGCACTTTGACCTGGGTAACTTTACATTGGAAAAGGATCTTAAGGTCTTCTTCATGGTAGTTCCTTCCACACAAAGCTTCATAATAATTTTGCACAGACTGAGCTTCAAGTGAAAACTTTTGACTTGGGACTGGAAAACATGATGTTTCATTCCTTTTTCCATCTAAATAAAATTTTGCAAAAGTGACATTTAACAAGCTTCTTTGTCAGGCCCAGCCCAAGAACAGCAGTGAAATAGTCCAGTTGAGTTCAGTTCCTTTATTTGCTTACAGCATATAGTCAG